GAGGCCCCGGGGAAGACGCAGGACATGCTGGAGGGACGATGTCTCTCGGCTGGCCTGGGAACGCCTTGGCATTCCCCTGGAGGAGCTAGAGGAAGTGTCTGGAGAGAGGGAAGTCTGGGCATCTTTGCTTAGACTGCTGCCCCCGCGACCCAGTCCCGGATAAGCGGAGGAAAATTGATGGATTGATGTGAAAGGTTGTGGTGAACACAGAAACGTTCGACGATCGGGGTACTTTTCAGTCTGCGATCTGCTGCGACCCGGGTTCTTTCTTCCCTTTGTTAACCTCTGATTACAACATGCTCCTGGTGACGTGAGCTGCTGCGGTTTTGTTGCAACATGTTTGATCCAAGTGTTGAATGAGCAGCAGCAGCTAAATGATGTTGGTGATTCTGTTTTTCAGTCGAAAGGAGGAGGAGGTTCAACATCAACGATCGGATCAAAGAGCTCGGAGCACTCATCCCCAAGTCCAGCGACCCGTCAGTAAACTCTGCATGCTCACACCACTGTAGGACTACTGCTATGTGTACAGTTAAATAGTACTGCAGTACTAGGTGAAGGGTTTGTCTTCAGGATTCACATTAAGGCCCTATCTCATGATGCATTCAGGGGCCTGTGTGTTTCCACAGTAGTCATGTTATTGTGACAGAAAGAGGAGAGCCACTGTTATTATCCTGACCTTCACCTCAAGAATATCACCTTTAGTTTTCCTCCACACAGAGACTGTTCTAACCTCTAACCTAGCCTGTGATTGGTTGGTCAGGGAAACGAGGTGGAACAAAGGAACCATCCTGAAGGCGTCGGTGGACTACATCCGCAAACTGCAGAAAGAGCAACAAAGAGTTCGTGAGATGGAGGACAGACAGAGGAGGCTGGAGAGCGCCAACCGCTCACTGCTGCTGCGTATACAGGTAAGGCGGGGGGGAGACACTAAGGGTTCAGCGTTGTAATTGTGACATTAAAGGATGCAGCCTCTGTTTGTGTGATTCCCCACTAACCAGAGACCAGCAGCACCAGTGAACGTGGTGTCCTCACTGTAATGTGTGTGAGTCCAGACCCTGGTCCAGCTCATCGCTCTGTACCGTAGACCTCCACTGTTGTCCACCGGCTACTAACCCCCCCAGTGAGCCACACTGGGGGGGTTAGGCTTCCTCCTCAGGGAACATGGGAGGTGTCTGTTACCAACAAGGATTTGTCAGAGTTCTTGTGATGTCAGGTTTAGTTGTTCTAAATATTCTGATTATAATCCCTGAAAGCCTGCTTGTCTTGATAGCTGAAGATGTGTTTCTGCTTTTATACACAGCTTCATCAGCTGTGACTCATTGTGAAGGTGTTGATTTCAGACCTGGTGACACTGAGCGTCATCATACTGGACCTGTGTTGGTCTTAAAGTATACTGGTTCTCACACTGGATCCACTTATGCCAACAGATGCTGCATTCATTAGTGTCATAAGTCTTTTTAGAGAATGTGTTTCTGTCTACACTGCCACAAATCCTTGTCACTGCATGTTTCAGCTGTTTCCTACATTATTCTGCAGGTGGATGATTCACCTCCCTCACATTAGTCTTAGTTCCACCTCAGCTTAGTCTCAGAGGGAGGATTAATGGATTCTGGCTGGAATCATGTCAGTCAGGGGCTGACGAAGACTAGGTGAGAGCAAGTGAAGGATCCTAAATGCTGGCTTCTTTCTTTGCTGCAGGAGTTGGAGCTCCAGGCTCGTCTTCATGGCCTCTCCTCCTCCTCCTCCTCCTCATCCTCCCTGGACCCTCAGGCCCTCCTCTCCCCGACGCTGCCTCAGGCCTTCTCCTCCCCTTCCTCATCCCTGGTGACACCTTCCCTGGGTCTGGATGCCTTGAGCTTTGTGGAGCTCGATGAGCCTCGGGGGGCCTCCACCGTCTTCTCCCCGGACCTGATGTCAGACGTGGGTCTGACGGAGCTCCACGGCCTGGGAGGCCTCCTGATGGAGGAGGGTGGAGGAGAGGTGATGTCTGACCCCCTGCTGTCCTGTGGAGCCTCAAAGTCCAGCAGCCAGAGGAGCAGTTTCAGCATGGATGAGGACCTCTGATGACATCAGCACACAGGTTCCTGGTCGGTCAGAGCTGGAGGTGGCCTCTGACGAGCCGGGAGGATTGTTTTTAACAGAACTATTTTTAAATCAGTGACATCATCAAAACAACAATGCACAAAGCTGAAGTCACAGGCAACAACAGTGTCCAGTGTGACCATGGTAACCACCCACCATGCATTCTCCAGCGTAACCTTGGCAACCATGATGCGTCCTACGAATGCACACATTCTAACTGATAGTGTCACCATGGTAACTGTTGAACGAACGTTCACCTGTAACCAAGACAGCTGCCTTGTCCTACAGTGCAACCATTTAACCACGGTAACTGCTGTGTATTCCAGTGTCCCCAGGGCAACAGCTGTGTAAGCGCCAGTCTGATTGCTCCTGGTCCTTCAGCAGCTAAGCTAAAGCTAAAAGCTAATGTCCTTTGGTCAGCTGCTGAGGCCACTCCCACCTGGAAAACACATGAAAACCAAAAGCACAAACACTGATGCAAACTTAAGATTCTAATTGGGGTGAAAATATAAGAAGTGACAAGGGGATTCATCTGGTTTAGTTTTCTGTATGTTGTCCACATCAGATGATGTAGAGACTCACTAAAATGTCAGGAATACTTCATAAACTTCAAGTAAATTTGTAATTATGGGATGCTACTTCTAAATTCAGTTTGATCATCTCATCGCTATGGTTGCATAGCTTATCATTTTAGAAAGTCCGTGTTTTTCCTTTTCATCTCACAGACAAAGCGACTGTTTCTACAACATGTTCCTGTGGATGAAAAAGCACTTTGAATGATGCCTGTTGATATTTTCACAGCATCCGTGTGTTCATCTGGCCACATCCCCGTTAGTGATGTCACTGCAGGTGTCTCACCTGCAGCAGCACCAGTAGAGTCTCAACTTTCAAGCAGAAGCCAGTTGTTTTTGCAACTCGTTGCCTTGTGTAGATGAGTTTACCCAGCAGGTGGCGCTGTAGACACTCACCTGAGTTTGTCTGCAGGCGCACGCTCACCTGGACTCTGAGAAGATGTTATAAACAGTAACACAGTGGAAATGAGCTCCCTGTTTCTCTTCAGGCCTGTAAATACGAATTTTGTATATAAACACAAATCTATAGTCTACAGTCTATAATCACCGAGCGCTGGAAACAGCCAGTGACACGTTTCAGTGCCGAAACGTTTGCTGAGTGTTTCCTGGACATTAGAGGAACACGTGATCAAGTTCATTATTATTCTTTTATCATTATTACTGATGTTTGTGCTTTGTGTTAGACATGAGGAGACAGAAGGGAAACTAACTCATCGTCGTCGTCGTCATCGTCATTGTCATGCCCTGGCCTCACTGCGCTGTTATATCAAATCTCTCCTCCAAATGTTTCCTTCCCTGCAGGCAGCCACTACTTCACCTCACTGTTTCTCTCAGCTTGGCCACCGTTTGAGATTCATTTGTGTTTACTGTGTCTTCATTGTTGTGAGGTCCGACTCCTCACAGTCCCCATGTTTCTCCCCAGTGTTGCCAAAGTCTCCCAGTCAGAACCCAGCACTTGGCTAACTGCAAGTGGAGCCCAGTGGTTCCTTCAGGAGACGTCTGTTTGTCCAGCACATACTATATTTTTTACCAACAGAGTCTTTTGGATAATGTTACATTAAACATTTGATGTTGTCCTTATATGAACAGAAACATATACAAGAACCAGGAAGTGTAATGTTAGCATGGAGTCAGTCAGTTATACTGTGCTACACCTTCAGCCCCATTTTTTTAAAATCACAGTTGTTTACATTTGGAGAATAAAGTAAACTGAACCGCCTGTGAGCAGTGTCCCCATGGATGTCCACTCACTGGATCACTGAGACTGAAGGACACTTAGAACCAGGAGGATTCTCAGACAGGGTTTCTCTATGGAGACTCGCTGCTCTACAACTTCGAACCGGGGTCATGGGAGTTTATAGCAAGCAAGCAAAGTTTATTTATATAGCACCTTTCTAAACCTGCGTTACAAGGTGCTTTCCAGTAAAACATAAACAAATAATAATAATAAAGATACCTAAGACCAGATAAAACACATCTAGACAGTAAAATAACAAGAAAAATACATAGTCAAAACAAATACATCAATCAATAAAATTGTTAAAAGCCAGTGAACACAAATGCGTTTTGAGGAGTGATCTAAAAACAGTCAGGTTCTGAGCAGATCTAATCTCCCGTGGCAGACCATTCCATTATAGGCGCCCGAACTGAAAAAGCTCAGTCTCCCCAATGTTTCCGTCTGGACTTCGGCACTTCCAGGAACAACTGGTTCGAAGACCTAAGTGTCCTTTCTGGAGTATAAAAGCGCACAAGCTCAGAAATATATGAAGGTGCCAGACCATGTACAGCCTTATAGACAAACATCAACAATTTAAAATCAATCCGAAAACGAACAGGAAGCCAATGTAGAGAGGCAAGGACTGGAGTGATATGCTCATGGCGCCGCGTATTAGTTAAAAGACGAGCTGCTGCATTTTGGACCAACTGTAGTTGGGACAATAAGGCTTGAGAAATGCCAGTATACAGTGCGTTACAATAATCTAGTCTAGTGCTAATAAAGGCATGAATTGCCTTTTCAAAATCACTAAAAGAAAGAAAGTGTTTAACCTTAGACAAAAGTCTCAATTGAAAAAAAACTGGCTTTAACTACAGACTTTATCTGTTCGTCCAGCTTAAGAGCAGCATCAAATACCACCCCAAGATTTCTCACATGAGGCCTCAGGTAGGAGGCCAAAAAACTAGGAATATCAGAACCAGTGACACCAGAGTTACCAATTACAATACATTCTGTCTTACTTTCATTAATATGTAAGAAGTTATGTGATAACCATGCCTTAATGTCCTTCAGGCAATCCATCAAGGTCTGAAATGAGTTGCTCTTATTGACATTCAATGGCAAATAAATTTGAATATCATCTGCATAACAATGAAAAGACAACCCATATTTCATAAAAATCAATCCAAGGGGAAGTAAATACAAAGAAAAGAGAACTGGCCCCAGGATGGATCCCTGAGGAACACCACAGTTCAAAGGAACAACAGAAGAAGAGAACTCATCAATATGTACAGCAAAACTCCTATCAGACAAATATGATTCAAACCATTTAAGAACATTACCATGAAGTCATGAAGTCCTACAGAGTGCTACAGACGGGACAACAAAATACGATGGTCTACTGTGTCAAAAGCAGCCGAAAGATCTAGGAGAATCAGAATAGCAGTATTACCTTCATCCACAGTAAACACAAGATTGTTAAATACTCGCAACAGCGCTGATTCGGTACTGTGGTGTGTCTTAAAACCAGACTGGAACTTTTCAAATATGCCATTATTCTCTAAAAAAGTCTGTAACTGTATAAAAATCGTTTTCTCTAAAATCTTAGACAAAAATGGTAACTTAGAAACTGGTCTAAAATGTAATAAAACAGTACTATCAAGACTCGGTAGTCATCAGAGATAATGACGTCCTTGGGAAGCATAACACCTGTGTGTGTGTTCAGGTCGGACCGGTTCCTGGCACAAACTGCTGCGGCATCCACACTACAGTCACCAATGTCCTGCTGTGTGTAGCACACCTGTACACACCAGCCCTCCTTCTGAAGTACGGACAGACCCCCCAGTTAGAGATGGAGCAGCTGGAAAGTCTCCCAGTCTGTCACAACACCTGTTCTCCCACAGGAGGAGTCGGGTCCATTGAAGCGCAAACAGAAATCCAGATGTTACATGGGTTGATGTTTGTGACGTGTCACAACAGTTACCATAGTAACAGTCAGGACCAGATAAGGGATTCTTGTCTGTCTCTAATGAATGTTCAGTCATGTTCATGTTGGCAGTTATATATGTTTTTATACATCCTCCTGTTTCAAACAGAACAAATAAATTCATTAAATTAATCAGGTTTGGTCTTTTTTACCGTGGTTTTCCTCACAGACAGGTTCGGGCGCGCTCGTCTGAGCGTGTAAAAACCTTTTATTCAGACAAACAACTATAAAAACATCAAACACTAGAAGAAGCTGAAGAGCAGATACAGAAAGTGGATGGACAGAATAAATGTGAATGATCTGAAGGAAAAAATGAAGACAGTTTGTTGGTACAACGTCTCAGGCAGCTGAGTTTAAACAGGTGTTTGGCAAAACAACCTAATCCAGGATCTTCAAATTCAGATTTAAAGGTTAAAACTAGTCACCTGAACAAACAACCACAACTGTGATAATTATGTGATAAATACATGATAATAAAAGCCATTTACAGCCACTTCATGTTTATCCAGAACTATAAATCTTCGTAGACTGGGAACCTGTCCAGGTGAAACTTCGCCTCCCACCTAGTTTCTGCTGGGGCCCAAGTCCTCCCAAAGGTCTCGCATGACACCGATTATGACTTCTTCATACTGCTGTTGAATCCAGTCCAACATAGTGGGATCACATTCAGAGCTTTGCATGGTCAGATGGCTGCAGCAGGAGCCTCAGCCCCCAGTTTGTTGGTTGTTCCTGATCCAGAATCCAAAGTACAGCAGACTGCGATGCTGAGGGATGTCTCCCAGTGGTCCTCACACCTGTGCACACCTTTAAAAAGCAGCTCACAAGGGTCACTATTGTAATTAATTTGGCACATTGTGTATGTCCTGTTACTCTGCCATTGATTTGCTTTTAGTATCTGTGACAGACACCTGTTGGTCTCAGATCCACACAAAGTCTGACCTGGTGTTGGACTGACTTTCAGACCATTTCTCAGCCTCCCTCCATCTGCGTACTGTCGCGCCTTGAGCTGAAATCATGCTTGAGTGAAAACGTGTGGTCATGAAGTTCACCAGCTTGAGCACTGGGCGGCACTTACAGATAAAGTTCACTCTGCTGCTGCTGTCATGAACAGAGACAGTCCTGCTTGTTTCGAGACACCAGATGTGTCCCCCCAGTTCTCAGCCTCCTGTCCAGCTCCTGTAGTTCCTTGCTGGATCATCAGGTTCTTTGTGTCCCCTGTGTACCTGTGTCTCACCTACCAGCTAGTCTTTCCTGGACCTTCTGGATGTGTTGACCTGTTCACCTTTCTCATCAAAGTCACCTCACTGAGCTGCTGTGTGTGAGGAGTTTTGTTAGAGTGACCTCGGTACAAAGACATGGACTACCTGCTGGAATGGAATACTGGAGACATCTGAAAAGAAGGACTGTCACAATACAGTTTTTGTCTGTACACATTTCTATACTATATGTATGAATATAATCCTGTGAATGGTGTCATGTCCCCTCAGACTTTTCTTGTGAGCCCTCACGGGGTCGTGACCCTCACATTTGAACCATTGTTTGGATATCAGTGGTGATGGGAGGAAATGTGTGGGCACTGTTTATTCAGACCTCTGAGAGTGAGTGTGGGTGTGTTACTGTGTGTTTGTGTGTCTCTTTGATGTGGAGTGTCCCAAGGTCAGAGGTCAGATGGCAATGTCATTTCAGTGATTTCCTGTTTCCTGTTTGGACGTCCTGGTACACCACTTCAACAAACACAATTCCTGTCCCACCCACCCCGCCCCGTCCCGTCCTGAGCTGTCAGTCAGACACAAAACCATGTGCAGCCTGAGGCTAGACGTCAGGTAGTAGTATGATGATTCACATCGGAAGGTGGCGGCAATGCATCCTTTCACTGGGTTCTCAGTCACAGCTGTTTCACAGAGGCCGTTATGGAAGTAAATCCCTGCCACAATATTTAAGGGGGCACTAACCACATTTTCAGCGCTACTCAATTAGCAACTCAGGCACATGTGCGTTTGTGCAGAATCAGATTTGAGAGTGTAATCCCTGGGAATAGTGATGAGTGATAAGCCAGCACACCTCTCACTTCCACTCATTTGTATTTGAGCATTACATTACAAACAACCCTACATTTCTTGTTCTCAGTGAACAAATCTAGTTCAGGACCACAGTTCCCCTGACTAGATCTCTTTTTCCTGTCCTTTCTACATTGACTGTACCGTTCCACTACACCCTAGTCGAGTATTTGAATGCACCGGTAAAGGAGAATAAAGCCACTGTGACAGAAAGGGGGTGGGCAGGAGTGAATGAGTGGCAGGGGCTGCAGCTTAGTTGGACTGAGTCTTTCCATGGCTTCCTAACGACACCGTACTGTGTGCTTGAATCTGCAGTAGGTAACTCTAGCCTCACATGTAAAACAACCCACCTGTAATTTACTTTGTGTCAGGTCCCCTGGAGTACTTGAAGCACCAGTTTGCTCTCTCCGGGTGATGGCAACAAATGAGTTTCTAGAAACACAACGTTCTTGTTGCTTTAGTTTCTTCATTTACGGTTCTTGGCATTTTCTCTGGCCAGTCTCGGACAAACAGGGTGAGCACGGTGGCTGCCGCCCATCGTGGTACCATGCACCTACAGGAGAAAGCTGTCAAGGAAATCTTGTATCACATGTAGAAACCTTGCATTATACCAGTGACTAGTTGGGTTTATGCCTTGGGCCTGGACGACCCAGGGACAGGACGTGACCGTGTTTTATCAGTTGTTGTCAGGGAAGTCCAGCACCATGTCTTAGGCAGAATTTTGGTATTCCCTCATGACTCAAAGGCAGGGCTGTAATATTTGCTAAATTAAATTTTGTACTTCCTGGTTGAAAAGTTGTGGTGTACTAAGCTGTTTCCTGTCCTGCCAGAGAAGCTGATGTGGGATGCTGTGAAGAAGAGGAAGACCATGCTGTACCAGACCCTCATCGATGATGATGCTTCTGCACCACAAGTTGTTGATCTCTTCAGAGACGTCAGGTAGACGTCAGTGGTGACTATGAAAACTGGATTGTGTACAGGTTTACACCATGTTGTTATTCCTGCCTTTGCAGGCATAAAAATATAAATAGTCATCAAAATGGTTGACTTTTAATGAAGCATCAGGTTATTTTAAAGCAAGTAGTGTGTGAAATGTGTAGTGGAAACTACAAATGTGAAGCTGAAGATGTGTGTGTGTGAACACCACTTGTTACTGCAAGACGGACAGGGTTGGATACTGAGGTCACGGTTTCAGGTTCCTGGGTCAGAAAAGTTGATAGTTCAGGATTCTTCTCTTCAGCACCAGCGACAGCGCACGTTGTTTCACTTTATAAGCTCCTTCAGATAAGATGTACCTCAAATCCCACAAAGGGGAAATTCAGTTACAGCAGCAAAGGAATGTAAAGAAGGCACTCGTTGGAAAACGTAAAAAAAGTAACAGCCAAGGTACTGACAAGAGACAAACTAATATTTACATATCATTGTTTCTTTTGCTGTTAGAATGTAACAAGCTCCCTTCAAAAGTCCAGTAAACTTTGTTTTTGAGAGCAAATAATATATAATTCAAGCTGCACCACCTTCGTAAATCTATCTCCTGGGAAAGTCATGGTAGTAATACATCAACTTGGATTTACTGCAATAAACAGTTTTAAAATCGGGTTGCTGCTGGCTGTCATTCATCTTTTTGGCCATGTCTAACACTGACCTGTATATGAACTGAGACTCCTTCCAATACCTGGTAGTTCATTTCTTTGTTAGAAACAAACTTCATGAAACTGTCTAATCATTTCTTGACTTTAATACATGAGGTTAATAAATACCTTTAACTTTAGTTTCTGCTGTTTGGTCATCTGTTTAAGATTTTTACAGCAATGATATCCTTGTAGCCATCATAGATTAAGACACTTTAAGCTTCTGCTGTGACGTTTTTAACAAATATCATGAAGATGGTGGTGTGCGGAGCGTCTGCTCGTACCCCAGGAGTCGCCCCAGTCTGAGTTTTAAAGTGATCTTCTAATAGTGTTTTGTTTTTCCCACTCTCCAGGCATTACAGCTCGTTATCTTAAGTTAGAATTATTAAACCAGAAACAATGCAGGAAGCTAAAGGGGGGGGGACTTACTTGGTTTGTTAAATGTGTTTTTGTGAAAGCATCTCGGGTACCTGCTGTCAGACACTACTTCAGGGAGTTTTCTAATGTAATGTGAGCAGCTGGATGAAGCAGAGGTCTGGCTACGTGAGAATGGGAAAGAAAAAGCCTGTGTGCTCGTGTTTATGATGATTCTGCCCATGTTTTGGATCCGTGCATTCTCTGATCTCAGCTTAATAAACTGTCATCAAACTGAACAGTTCAGCTTCTCCTCACGGTCCAAACAGCTGCTGGTTTAATGACGTCCCTCTATACGACAAGGAGAGTGAGAACATACCGCCCTGTGTTGGTCTCCATACTTGTCATCTCTGAGTTTGTTTGTTTTTTTCCATGTGGTTAGCTAGACGTTCTTTTGTTTTCCACGCTGACAGTTCCTGTGCTGTGGATTTCCCTTTTCGTCCGCCTGTCCCCTTGGTTAGCTTGTCTATTCCCCTGTCCGTCCTGTTCCTCCCACTCTCCTGTTTGTTTTTTGCCATTGGCCTGTCTTTTCCCCTGGTCATCCCGTTCTCTTCCACCTTCTCTACAACCTACTTTGCTGTTTATATTCCATTAAACCTCCTTTTTTTAACTAGCACCTGGGTCGGCAGTCTTGAGTCCAACCTCAGGTCTCCCTAACCCTCCTGGTGAGGGGGACTAAGCCATAACAGAATGCTCTGGCCAACAATGGACTCAGCTGGCTCAGGTGCTAGTTTTCCTTCACCTTCATTCCCCAGCCATAGCCTGAATCAACCTCGGCCATTATTCTCAGAGACCTACCTTAGCTCCACAGAAACTCAGGACATCTACCGGCAACTTGCATATCACAAGTTTTCCCCATTTTCTTTTTTCCTCGAGGCAACTCCCAAGCCCTCACTTCCACAGACTTATCTTCCCTCCATGCGGCTGAGCTCTTTTTTTTGTCTCCTGTCCCTGAGCCCGCTCCTGTTCCCACCTGTTTTTCCTCCTCGCCCTATGCTGGTACTCGGTTGGCCCTCTGCCCAGGTGGTCCTGGAGGAAGGTGGAGCAGGAGGGCCAACCGACGTCAGCCAACCCCTCAGCAGCAGCCCCTGCAGCGATCCAGCTCGGGCTCCCACGGGCCCCCCAGCCGGCTCCATGCCAGCTGCGGCAGCCCTTATCTCAGCCAGACCTCCAGCTGCTGCAGCCCTCGCCTCAGCCAGTTTTGCAGCTTCCTCCAGTTCCCGAATGGGTTGGCGATGCCGCCGCTCTCCAGCTGCCTCCAGTTCCCGAATGGGTCAGCGCCTGGCTTCCTGCACCAGAGGGGTTCGCCGACAGTGCCGCCCTGCTTCCTGCACCAGAAGGGATCGCCATCATCCTGGCCCCTGCCTCTGGGTACTCAATCCCAGCTGCTCCGCTGCTGCAGCCACCATCCCATCCTCAGTCCAGCCGCCGCTGCAGTCACCGTCCCAACCATCCTCAGTCCAGCGCCCAGCGCCTTGGTCGGCCCCCTGACCGGCCGCTAGCCTGGCGCCGAGGTCACCCCTCTAGAACTGCCAATTGTTTTGGGACTTTTTTTTTGGGACTTTTTTGCCGTTTTTGGGCTTTTACTTACTTCTGGACTATTTACTGTGTTTTTGGGGCTTTTTCTCTTTGTCTTTGTTGTGTTGCAGGGGTTGTTTTTTGTTGTGGGCCTTGTCCCACCTTCTGGGGTCCCCCTCCTCCCTCCCTGCTCTTTTTGCTATGGGGTTTTCTTCCCTAACCCTCCTGGCGAGGGGGACTAAGCCATAACAATACTGTTACTCACATACTGTGTCCGAACGTGTATCTGGGCCACGTTTCTCTTACAAAGCATCATCAGATCAGTTTACTGCTGTATCTGAGCTGACCAGGCTCGATTTGATATGAAACTGCATCAATACATTCACAGCCGTCGTCTCCCAACCGGGGGGTTGGAGGTTGGAGGCAGCTTGTGGGAACTACATGTCATGTCATGTCATGCACTGAGTGTGTTCAGCTTCTCTGATAAACGTCATCATCAGCCACACTCTTACTCTGTTAACATAAACCTTCATAGTTTCTATACAACGTCATGTTATTGATTGCTAATCTAAACCAATCAGCTCTCGGATCAGATGAGAGCGAGGCATCTCCCATCATGCCCTGAGCTCTTGCAGTCGTTGGAGAAACAACAGAGCTTTTAATATGAAAATGCCAAGCCACGCCTATGTGTCCCTTTTGACAATTTTCCCATGAAGACAAAGATGAGCACATTAACCACCCAGTTCTACTTTCCTCATTCAAAAGTTTGATTTTAACTTTTAAAAAATAAAAAAATGGCTTGAATGAATAAATGAATGTTTTATTAAGGACTAAGAATCAATAAAAACACTAAAGCACAACTAGGAAGAAGGAAAAAATATTAGAAACTCAAACTACGTTTCCAGTGCTTTCAAACGGAGGAGCACCTCATATCAGTCAAGCCAGGCTCCACCAAACTGCCACATTCTTAAATTGGACAGGTGATAGATATGTGGTTAAATACAGGCACAAAGGGCATTTTTCCTTAGTTGCTTTTTGTGTTTTAAAGTGAAAAACTGAAAATGAAGACTTTATAATTGATGTTCCATTCCAAAACAGGTCTGGACTGATCGGAGAGTTAGACGGATTGACCTATGTCCTTCTCAGAGATTTGCCTGCTTGTGTTTGAAGCCTAAGACCACACAGCAGTCAACACAGAGACATCTCACTCTGGATGCACACATTTTTTTCCTGAACCCAAATTGAACAAATCTCTGTTTAAATTCCTCGGTTTCAAAATTCTAAAACTTATAGATCCACTTTTGCTCTGGATTAAAACACCAGACGTGAACATCAGCAGCACCTGCTCCTGGTAACAACAGTGTGACAATGTTAGATAAAGATGGTGGTTTCACCGTCCCTGAGCTGGTCCTGCTGGGCTGCTGTGACATCAGTCTGCCCTACAGGCAGCCCAGTTATTACGATCACGTTCTGGCTCCACAGAGGAGGATGCCGCAGACTGAAAGCTGCTGCACGCCTGAATCAAAGTTGCCACCTGAAGGTGCATTAAATACTGTGCGTGAGCTTGACTGTCCAGGAGAAACCAGATGTTTCTCCAGGTGACTTTGATGTTCGTCCTGCAAACTTTCAGTCATTGTCTCCTGTCTGATATTGTCTTGTCCTCTGGCTGCTTTATGCGGGGAAGCAGATGGAGCAGCACTCCAGGCAGATCTCCAAGCAGTCGGATGAGCCACAGCAGTCGTCTACTATCCCACAATCCAACATGGCCTGACATGCCTCCTCCGTACAGGCCGCCTCCCCTGCCACCTCTACGCAGCAGCAGCAGCCAACCGCAGCATCACAACAGCTGGTCCCGCCCACTCCACACACCAGGCACTCCCCCATGGCCGAACACATGGACAGCAGCTCACAGAACAGACAGGCCAGGAGACAGTGAGCGCAACAGTCTGCAGAGACAGACAGACAGGGGAAAGTGAGCGCAACAGTCTGCAGAGACAGACAGACAGAGGAAAGTGAGTGCAACAGTCTGCAGAGACAGACAGACAGGGGAAAGTGAGCGCGTCTGTCTGCAGACACAGACAGACAGGGGAAAGTGATCGCAACAGTCTGCAGAGACAGACAGACAGACAGGGGGAAGGGAAGACAGACAGACAGGGGTCTGCAGAGACAGACAGACAGACAGGGGAAAGTGAGCACAACAGTCTGCAGAGACAGACAGACAGACAGGGGAAAGTGAGCACAACAGTCTGCAGAGACAGACAGACAGACAGGGGAAAGTGAGCACAACAGTCTGCAGAGACAGACAGACAGACAGGGGAAAGTGAGCACAACAGTCTGCAGAGACAGACAGACAGGGGAAAGTGAGCACAACAGTCTGCAGAGACGGTGAACACAAAGGTCTGTCCATTTGGTCTAGTGTGACCTTAATCACCAACTTAATGAAATAGTCTTTTAAACTGAAACTTCACAAATGTCAGTTCTGTACATTTCCATCGACTACTCATTTTTCTTGACAGTGGCCTGAAGAGTTTTTGGCCCCGAGTGTAGTCTCTCAGGTAAACAGCAGCAGCCACTGGACAGAGGGAGTTGGTCTGTTAGTAAGTGGACGCTGAGTTAGAAGTTTATGACAACAAAGCTTCTCTTCTTCTTCTGTGAGTAGCTTCAACCTGACAGGGCTGAAAGACTGATGCTGTTTAGGGTTTTTCACCTGTATGTGTTTTAAAGGAGCAGATCTGGTATTTCCACCCTGACTGAATGTCTCCACTGAATAGGTGTTTCTTGCTACCTAGAAAACCTGTTAACTGCAGCTTATAGGGAAAATCATAAAATGTAAAGAGAGGACGTGAGAAAATGAACACTAGCTGCTAATTCTGCACCAAATTCCACCAAACATGGTGACGCTGAGCTGGTTAAACTGAAAATGAGCAGAGTCAAAGTGGTGTGGGGAATCCTGCTGTTATCCTGTAAGTCTGTGGGCTGATGCTAGGGGGGCAGTGTGTGCATGTGCTCAGCAGAGATAAGCAGGACCCCACAGCGCAGGTGTGTGGCTGATAGTGCGAGTGTGTTCAGCGTTCTGCTTCCTGCCACGCTCAGATACCGTCTGGCTGCGTTACAGTGGAAACAGAGAGTAAGCGACCCTGTGGAGTTCACTGCTGTTCTGTGTATGTCAGTCCGACAATACAACCAGGACCTGACCCGATCAGGAAATCGCCCTAAACTGGCCAGAATGTCTCTGTGGTGCATTTGAGTTCCAGCATGTAGAAGTCAGATCATTTATCACCTGTCCTGGCACAGGAAGTCCCTCATGTCTCCAGCACATGCAGGAGCTCGGTCCCAACAGGTCAGGAGCTGCAGACATGAGGTGAATCCCAGTTCCCTTATTTTATCCTTCTTCTGCCCTCGCTTGACCCAGAAGTTGTTCTAGTCGGCCATGATGAAGGACATCCCAAAACCCTTATTCCTGCTCCGAGGAGCAAGGAGGCTGCTGGAGGAGCTATAGCCGAGGACACACGAGTGCATCCTTCGTGGGAGTCTATTAGGGTTATGACGCGCCCCTTTATCAGAAATCAGCGACTGGACGCTTTACATTAGGATTGGAGGAACAGACGTCTCGTCAGTTAAAATATATTTCCTCAGTTCCTCTGTCCTTGTATTTTATCCTCGTATCTTATTTGGGTGGGACTAAGACGCAAGGAAAAGACTCAAGTGAGGGAAATGTGGATGCAGTTCGGAGAACTGGGATTCACCTCCGCACATCAAACTATCCTCAGGACAAACTTTACACTGTCAGAGCTCAAGGCTGTTTGGCTCACCGTCTCCAGCGACCTCCTTAATGTGGGCAGCATCTGTTTTGATGGAGGCGTGGCTTCTTGTGGAGGAAAGGCGCTTTTGATTGGTGCTCTGGTGATGATGGTGTTGAGGAAGGCTGCAGCTGTTTTTTTTATAGGCAGGTGGCCGAAGAGGAGGTGCAGAGGTGATGGAGGCAGATGGAGGAGTACAGATGGGAGGAGGAGACGCTGATGAGCTGTCCACACCTGAGAGACAGAACAATGACATCAGAGGTTACATCAAATTGAGCCATGTTAGTCTCAGGTACCTGAATCCAGGTTTACCGTTCTGCTTTCGCTGTGTGGGCAGGAGCTGAGAGACGTCATTGGTGGAGGGGCTGTCTGTCAAAGAGTCATCACTCATGTGACCTTCCCCTGGCCTGTTACAGAGAAGGGGAGGAGCCTCTCCTGCAAGAAGAAACATCAGTGCGTTATTACAGTGAGGAACCCCAGACAAAATGATCCCTGGGATTACAGGTGAGCTCAGGTGAGTGTCCAGGCCATTAGACACCATTAGCCTTTGGTTCTGACCGAGATCATCATCCAGGTCCTGGAATGATGTGAAGCATTCTTCACCGCTGTGACATGGGGCCAGTTTCAATATTGTTGCTTCTAACGCCGTACACAGTGCCTACAGTGCCTACAGTGCCTACAGTGCCTACAGTGCTTGGACAAACACTACAAGGTAATATGACCATAAGACCTACACCAAAGCCTGATCTGGATCCAAGTCGTATTCTGGAACCGCTGATCCAGAATGTTCACATTAACAGGGCTCAGGGAAAACTGGCTGCTCTGAGACGACACATAAAACTCCTAATCTGATACTATTTTCTCCTCCACAGTAAACATGACCTTGGCCTTACTGAGCAGGACCCCAGAGTTTAAATGCATTAATTATTCTGTATTTATAGAAAGCAGAAGCAGTTTCCTGTTTCCTGTGCTTCTCTTCTCCTTTCAGCACCTCCACCTGTTGGAGGAGGGGCTGTGTGTTTCACCTGAGAACCGACGTGTGCGTTAGAGAAGACATCAACTCCAGTACACTGGTTCATCTCAGTCTGACTGTACTTTCCTGGTTTTTCAAAGTTTTTTATGAAGTGTTTTTCTGTTTGCTCTTTACTATATGAACAGTTTTCCCATAATTCATCTGACATTTATTGTAAATAAACTGTAAACCCTCTGTAACGAGGGTTGAGACCACATCACTGGTTGGTACTGGCTGATTTCTGTGGGTCTGTCTGCTTATTCACACACTGATGGTCATTTGCTGACGTACTCGATGAAGGCGAACTGACCAAAACATGAGGCTTTAGTGCACATGAAAATAAATGTCCCATATGTCCTTGTATGCCACACTGCTCTGAACCTAAGCAAGAGCACTCCCTGTTAACCAGCCCGTCAGCCCTGAACCTCCGACATCAGACGTGTAGTGGCCAGTGTCTGGAGCAAGTGTCAGGATTTGCCTGTAAGTCTCAGTTCAGGGTAAAACTACACAGCGACAGTCACATCTGTCTCACCTGTGTTTTGATGTGGGAGCATCCCATTGACTGCTGGCTGACTTGAAATGCAATCTGTCTGGTTTGTGCTCTTATTGGCTCCACTCTCCGTGATGTCAGAGTGTGATGTCACTTCCATCCTGTTGATGTCATGTGATCACAAAGACAATGATTCACATCTGAGGATGGCATTTGTCAACAACATAAAGTAAGTACATTTACTCAAGTATGTACTTCATTACAGTTCTGAGGTATTTGTACTTGAGTATTTACAAATTACTTCTACTTCAGTTGTACTCGTTTCATTTAAAAATCTCGGTTATACTGTAGTTTCACATCATTAATTCAAAAGACAAATCAACTAATAACTTTTGATTTATTATTACAGATGCAATTACCCAGCAGTTCATACAGCTGTTAACATCAGCTCTACTTTCAGCAGCTGCAATGTTCAAATGATGAGCACATCATTGGCATCAGTCATTCTCATCCAGTAATATCATAGACTATGTGAAACAGTGCTGTGATGATATTTGGATGCTTTTACTTGTAAGATTTTGAATGCAGGACTTTTATTTGTAACAGAATATTTTCACACTGTGGTACAACTGCTTTAACTTAGCCTTAGTAGAGGGTCTACTTCTTCCAGTGCTGTTAACACTCACCGTTCATGTAGAAACGCAGCTCCAAACAAAACGAAACACTACAGGAAGGAAACTCATTTACAGTTAAGAACTAGTCATCTCTGATGCGCTTCTATTGTTTGTCACCTTGCTCAAATGGTTTGTAGAAATAAAGTTGAAGTGTTTGAAGTGAAATTGACCCACGCAGACTGAAAAACGGTAAATGTTCATTTGATTACTACACTGTCCGAACACTTGGTCTAGGTTGATCCGTTTTATTGTCACGCTTTCGCTTCTGCCTCAGTGTCCAGATGTTCCCCTTACCGCCTGACATCTATGTGCTGCACCGACTCCACTAACGACGCTTCATCGGGGAAGCAGGAGCCGGTCACAGAGCTCAGATCGGTCGCTCTGACCAAGTGTCTGTGTGGAAAACCCGGGTAGCCTATTGCTCTGAGGACGCATCACCTACATGTTGGGATATTATTTAAAAAATAGTTCAACCACTCACCTGCAGCCTCTGAGTCTGAGCCTCGCTCCTCTTTCTCTCCCCACTTTCTGCTTTTAAACTTTTCTCACCACTTAACCGTTTTGCCTGCAGGGCGCGCATGCGTGTGACCGCCTCCTTCTCCGCTTCTTGTAAATACTAACGCGCGCGCACATGAAATGGTTTGTCATTGCAGTCCAGTGACCTCCAGGACTCAGGTGTCCAGTCAGAACACCCTCTCACCTTTGCGTGTGGATCCTGGATCAGTTAATCAGAAACACCTTGTGAGAAACAGCCGCGCTCCGACCTTCATCCAAACAGGCACGCGCAGAGAGCTGCAGATGTTACACAGACCGTCCGGTTTGCACATGACCAGGACTCAGAAACACGTTAATCAACATACGGGCCGGGGATCGTCTAGAGCACGTTAACCTGCGCAGCTGATTCCAGGTGTTCCATGTGTCAGAGACAGGATGTAAAACACACCTGGGATGTGACTCTCACCATGTAGACTAGCAGAGAACATCCTCACCTACAGCTGCCACTACAGAATAACATAAGTGGGCATGTAATAGTAGACCTACGTCATCATAGCCTAATAATATAAAGGTGGAAGAGGATCCAGTAAAGAAACTTCCAGAGCAAACATGAAATGAATCCACAGTAAGCACCATAATGCCATAAACTCAACATAACATGTGGTATGGCGCCACCCGCTGGACTCGCAGCTGCTGCTGATCCTGGAACACAGCTGGGCCCTTGTGGTGTCCTCGTGAGCTCTACGTGCTGTCACTTACAGTACAACAGGTCATATTACCTGATTTATTGACCCCATTTGTTATTAGTTATTATTGATCTGTACCCACTTCATTCATCAGTACGACTGGATGGTGGCTGTGTGCAGATGTTTGTTTCAGCCTGGAGAACGGAGTCTGAAACACCTGCAAACACCTGCCTCCCTCACTCTCCCGTCTCCAGGTGTGTGTTTCAGCCTCCTGCCTCCTGGTGTCGCTGCAGCAGCTGCAGCCTCTCACTGCTGTGCCCCCCACCACACACACACACAGAAGACGAGGAAGAAGAGGAAGAAGAAGAAGCTGAGGCTGAAGCAGAAACAAAGAGATTTGTGCAGATTTAAGTAAAAATGAAAAATGAGTGAAACCCACAGGGAGTTCTGATGAGGATTGCATCGGAGGACTGATTCTTCTTGTGTGCGTGAAGCAGAACCAGCCTCATCATGGTGAGTTCTGGTGTTTGTCCACGTTCACGGACAGATACTCAGACTGATGCCGGAGAATAAGGCAGCAGCTGGACTCCCTGTGCAATATTCTGCAGCATCACAGACACCAGCACGTGATTTCAAACGTGCAGCAAAGTGAACGGACTTTGGTTTCACGGTGGAAACGGAACATGCTGACCAGCGTGCAAGAGAACAAAACGTGCAAACCGTCAAGCCACGTCGTCATTCTATAAACAGAAGCTTTGTTAAATCTGGTTTCAGGTCTGCACCTGGACTGATGAGGTGTACAGGGAGAAAACCCGTTTAGGCACAGGATCCGGACTGATTAGAAAAATGGGTTTTAGTTTTTCACAAGTAAAATAATGGTTTCACTGATGTCATGGGGTCTTACACAGAATGTGGAGTCCCTGTATTTACTGTATGTAGTCTAGCAGTGACAGGTCTGGGTGAAGTTGATTTGAATCTAGACCTGGTCTGATGTAGACTGTGTGAAAGCAGGAAATAAATGGTTTTGGGGTCTCTGGACACTCCGGGCCTTGCTACAGATTTAAGCATAACAGCAGAGAATTAAAGTGTCTGTCACTCTTAATTCCTCAGAAGCCAAAGGCCAACTTTTCAACAGGTTTGTTTGTTTTGTCTCAGTCTGAGGAGGCCGCAGGACCAGAGCGAGGTCTGGAGGAGGAGGAACAGGGAGGAGGAGGAGAGGGGGGTGAAGAGGAAGGAGGAGGAGAGGTTACTGTGGAAACACCCAACACTCCTGTGTACTGTGTGTGCAGGAAGCCAGACATCAACTGCTTCATGATGTAAAGAAACCACACAGAAATATCTCTGAATACCAGGTCATGGACCAACACAGCACTAACCTGTCTCTGTCTGTCTGTCCATTTATTTTTGTCTCTGTCTGTTTATTTATGTCTCTGTCTGTCCATTTATTTATGTCTCTGTCTGTCTGTTAATTTATTTATGTCTCTGTTTATTTATGTCTCTGTCCATTTATTTATGTCTCTGTCCGTTAATTTATGTCTCTGTCCGTTAATTTATGTCTCTGTCTGTTTATTTATGTCTCTGTCTGTTAATTTATGTCTCTGTCCTTTTATTTATGTCTCTGTCTGTTAATTTATGTCTCTGTCCATTTATTTATGTCTCTGCCTGTCTGTTAATTTATGTCTCTGTCTTTTTATTTATGTCTGTCTGTTAATTTATGTCTCTGTCCTTTTATTTATGTCTCTGCCTGTCTGTTTATTTATGTCTCTGTTCTTTTATTTATGTCTCTACCTGTCTTTTTATTTATGTCTCTGCTTATTTATGTCTCTACCTGTCTGTTAATTTATGTCTCTGTCCTTTTATTTATGTCTCTGTCTGTTAATTTATGTCTCTGCCTGTCTGTTAATTTATGTCTCTGTCCTTTTATTTATGTCTCTGCCTGTCTGCCCCTCAGAGGGTGTGACAGCTGCACTGAGTGGTTTCATGGAGACTGTATCGGAGTTTCAGAGAAAGCAGCTAAGTCCATCCGAGTGTGGTACTGTCCGTCCTGCAGAGGTTAGTTTCCTGTGACGTGTGCTCATCTCTGACACAGTGGTAATATAGAAAAATGTGTAGGTTTGTTGATGTTCAGGATTTTTAGTTTTAGCACATTTGTTGGATAAGAAATGAAACCATGAGTTTAGCCTCCGGTCACTGGTGCATATCATATAAGTAGTTTCTCATTGTTTTGGACAAAGTGCAAATGCTTTGACACATTCATGCAACTGATGATGTGAAACTGTCTGATGCTTCCTACATTATCATTTTATTATTATATTATACTGGTTTCTGTCTGACCTCCCAAATCAACTACGCATTAGTTCACTGTAAATGTTGATACATGTAAAATGGCTGACCCAGAGGTCAAGCATCCTGCTCTGCAGCTCTTGATAGTCAGAGCACAAAAATGGAGCTGTGATGGCTCCATGATGCTCCTGTGTGTACTATAATATAAATAGGAACTTGTCATTTTCTCCTTCCTCTCTCGGTTACATTCTCAGTTGCTGTAACATGTTGCTAATATTTAAGCTATGTCAACGGCACAGTTGATCAAGATTAGGCTGCACTTCATTAATTCTATCAGTAGGATTCACTTCAAGTAAGGGAGACTTTGAGTGAAGCATCTCATGGCCATCCAGTGGACTGCAGAGCCTCAGTGATTCAGGAATGCTTCGTTTTGTCCATCACTACTCTGAGCCACAGAGCTTCAATGTGGCCAGGAACTAATAAAACCCATCAGCGACCACATGGTTGCACTGGCTGACATGTTCCGTCATCATCACGCACACACATACTGTAGTTTCTGTCTGTTAGCAGGCTGTGTGTTAGCTGTTCGCAGGTTATGCGATAGCTGTTAGCCATGTATTGTGTTCTCTGCAGACAGAGACTCGTCTCTGGAGATTAAATACCGTCTGAAGAAAACCAAGGAGGAGAAAGAGGCAGAGCCAGAGAGAGACGATAAATCTGACCGAGATGGGCGCTCCAGCCCCCAGCCCAAAACTGACAGGAGGCGGGGCTCACAGGTGAACTGGCAACAGGTGGATGTTTCTGCTGGGATGATTTTGTGTCACATTATGAACAACATCTCTGCAAGTCATCTTCTGTCACTGTAACAACTGACACTTCGACTGTTTGCAGTACACACTTCTCACTTCTCTCGCTTCATCTGAAATTCCTGTTACTGTCATTGTCAGCAAGTCCACTGTCACTTCACTGAGTGTAAAAAGTACTTCTGTAGACTTGCCAGGGAGGTCTATGCCGATTTCAGGTTACTTGATGAACACTATGGGTGTGTGGTTAGACACAATGAGCAACCAAGGAATCCAACTCATTTCTGATTTATTAGCAGTCAGCGGTTAGGGTTGACAGGTTGCAGGCTGGTTTGTGAATTTAAACAGAAATAAATAGAATAAGCTTTAACATGACACAAATTAACACAGTCGCAAATAAACTACAAGAAAACCTAAAAGGAAGTAACAAAATATACAACAATATTACTTCTGAATTAAACGGAAAACTATTACCAAATATCAGTAACAGCCAAACAGGTGTCATCCATGAGGGAGCTCCGTGTTCTCAGCTGCAGGCAGGAAGAGGCTCAGGCCTGCAGCTGATCCTGCATTCAGACCCCTCCTACTTCACAACACTGATGTTCAGCTAATTTAACTGGTATTTGACTCGCTTTTTGTCTGTGATTTTACCTGCTTTAAGCATTTGCACTAAAACTAACAGCTGTCAACTGACCTTTCAGCTGCTTTCTGTATCTGAACCAACAGATTTATTTGCTGTCGCTGGTGACGTGCCAAGTGACAAACTCCTTTAATGTGCTTCACTTTAAACTCAACTCCCACCCCAAAATTCACATGTGAAATATGATTATTAGAAGACATTTCAGCCTGATTTCAGTGTTTTCAGCTGACGTTGCAGGGTGCTCTTCTTCAGACAATGTGCCCTTCCTTGTCTTCAGTACCGGGTCTGATGTTTCTCTATCAGATCAAGCGCTCGGCCAGGATGTGTGGAGAGTGTGACGCCTGCTTGAGGACAGAGGACTGCGCTCAGTGTGACTTCTGTAAAGACATGAAGAAGTTCGGAGGTCCAAACAAAATCCGACAGAAGTGTCGACTGAGGCAGTGCGAGGTCCGAGCACGGGTGAGCAATCAGACTGTTGATCCACTGAGTCACTGACAGGATAACGGTGTTACAGTTTCTCATCTCTAGCTGAGCCATGTGCTTTATAATTAGTGATGCATGTTCTAATTGTTAACGATGAATATAGCCAGTCTGTCAGACGTCTATTAGAATTGTACTGATGTTACTGGGGTTTCCCATTTTCTTGTCTTTGAGCAGAAGATGCTTCGTGTCAGAGATGAGGAGATGAGTCGAAGTGGCACCAGGGGGCGGGGACTACTCAGGAAAGGGGTGGGGCATCAGACTGAAGACGAGGAGGAGGAAGAGGAGGAGGAGGGATTCAGTGAGAGTGAGCTGGAGCTGTATGAGCAGTATAAAGCTGCTGGCTACAGAGACCTGGTCAGTGTGTGAGTGACTGTTTCTGACCAATCTGCTGCCAGGATGGGTACTTCCTGTGGTGTAACGTGTCTTCCTGTTGCAGGTGTGGCACAGCGAGGAAGAGGACGCCCAGTCAGACTCTCTGAGGAAGAAAGCGGTGAAAGTGAAACACGTGAAGAGGCGAGAGAAGAAGACAGAGAAGAAGGTGAGCACGGTTACAGTAGCATACTGATGATGTCACTGATGATGTCACTTACACACCCGTCCCATCCTGTAGAAGTCTGTGTCCACCCCTAAAGAGGAGGTGAAGCCTCGCCGCCACAAGGCAAAGCAGCGTCACAAGGAGCGTGTACGGCACAGCGAGCGAGCAGGAGAGGGCGGTGTTAAAGAGGTGGGCGGGGCTCTGAGGCAGTGTCTAGGTCCTGGATGTGTCGAAGCAGCGAGGGTCAACTCCAAATACTGTTCAGAGGACTGTGGCATGAAGCTCGCAGCCAAGTGAGTCTCAGTTTAAAGGTGTATTCACATAGAGTGCTGGAGTGGTGAGTCCTAAAACCCAGAACTGAGTCAGCCTGTTTGCACTCGTGGTCCCCTCACCCTGAAGTCCGTGGGTTTTTGGTTAGACACCTGAAATAAGGTCTGTGGTTAACACAAGGCCAACACATTTTCATGTGTTGTTCTACGACAGAAAATACACCAGCTAATGCCCCACTATGAATAATAATGTGAATAAGCCTTAACAGGAAGTGAAGGTGAAAACCTGTCAACATAAAACACACCCGACCCAGAGAGAGAGGAACTAAATTGTCTGTCTCTTTGTTTCTCTTTGCATTTGTACCTGTGTTACTATTTTGTCTTGTGTCTCTCTGTGTCTGTCTGGATCTTGGTCTTTGTTTCTGTGTCTCTGTATCCGTCTCTCTGTCAGTCGTATCTATGAGATCCTGCCTCAGAGGATCCAGCAGTGGCAGCAGAGTCCTTGCGTTGCCGAGGAGATGGGGCGGAGACAGCTGGAGCGAATCAGGAGGGAGCAGCAGGCGGCGAGACTACGTCTCACTCTGATGGAGAAACGTTTCCATGAACTCGAAGGCATCATCGCTAACGCCAAACTGCAGCAGGTGCAGCACCATGAGGAGGTACGAGACCGTGAGACACAGCTCGGTTTAGTCTGATTGATGGGGTAGATCTCACCTGTTTGTCTCTCTGCAGGTGACTGAGGGTGATGGTGATGACACAGACCTTCAGATCTTCTGTGTTTCTTGCAGTCATCCTATCAACCCAAAGGTGGCGCTGAGACACATGGAGAGATGCTATGCTAAGGTCAGCTCTGCAGGAGTCTTTTTGGTTTGAACTGTAACAGAAGAACCAGAACAATCTCAAACTTAGGATTCAGTCTCTTATTTACTAAGCAGAGAGCTGAGCAGACCTGTGGAGCTGCTCCTCATCTCTCCTACAAGAAATACTAGCACACATCACAGGCTTTGGTCTAACTGCCTGAGGTCCAGGTGCACTGTGGGTCATGTAGGTCAACCAGATCTGTCTCTGTCTGTCCAACAGTATGAGAGTCAGACGTCATTTGGTTCCATGTACCCAACACGTATAGAGGGGTAAGTCCACATGTCTGCCTGTCTGCCTGTCATTCACTAGTTTGATGCTCTCATGGTAACATCTGTCTGTCTGTCAGGGCCACCAGGTTGTTCTGTGACGTGTACAACCCTCAGAGTAAGACGTACTGTAAGCGGCTGCAGGTTTTATGCCCTGAACACTCCAGGGATCCAAAGGTGAGTCTCTGTCTATAGAAAACTACTTGGAGTCATTTAAATCTTACTCATCGGCTGCTTTTACTTTGTGTCTTGTGATATTTCAAGGAGCTCAGTGGTAGTTTTGTCATGTACAGGCCTATTAATTCTGCCTGCCTGTCTGTCCCTCAGGTCCCGGCAGATGAGGTCTGTGGTTGTCCTCTGGTCAAAGACGTCTTCGAGCCGACTGGAGACTTCTGTCGTGTTTCCAAGAGGAAGTGTAACAAACATTACTGCTGGGAGAAACTTCGCCGAGCCGAGGTCGACCTGGAGAGAGTCCGAGTGGTAACGCCCAGACTAAACTTTATTAACATCGGCTCTGGCTAACGTTGCAGCAGGGACCGATGTTTGATCAAATTTTAATTTCAGTTACGATTTTGGCTTCCAGTGATTATGAAAACAAGAGAATCGAGTCATTTATATCCAGCGCACCCCTTCAGCGCTCTACAGTAGGCACGTGTTTTGCTCACATTGGTTGCAATGAAATGTTACTCGACGTGACAACACTTAAACTTTGTTACGACACATGCAATAAAACCTCTGCGAGTAAAGCCAATTAGAGTAATCTATCAAAACCCCACTAAACGAGCATAAACCTATCGAGAAGGGATCATTTCAGCATTGCCTGCCAGTTTGTGTTAACTGTAGCAAGCTCGTTAAGCCAATAGCTAATTGTTATTGTTAGAAATTAACCCGATTCTTTTGTTGGAAGCACGAGAAGTGACGACAGGAGAGGACTGTTTAAAATCAGCAGAAAGTTTACTGAATGTCTGATCACAGATAGGCCTTACAGCGCTGGGATCAGAGAGACAGAGCTCCAGCAGGAGTTCCATCCACTGAACCACCAGTTATGTTTTTACCATGCATTTATCTGGCTGGGCCAGGCCCGCCCTAAACAAAGGTACAACAATTCACACTTCGTAATCCTATTGGCCATTTGGAGTGAGTAGGTCAACCCCTGCCTGCACTTGCTTGCTGATATGTGATCTAGACCAGGTGTGTGTATGTGTGTGTGTGTGTGTCTCTCAGGTGGCAGCTTGATCTTGATCAATGAACCCTGAACAATGGGTGGTCTGGGTTGCAGGCCCCCTGAGTGTGTGATGCTGATTTGTATGTTAAACTGGCCAAGTGGTCATCTCAGGTTGTGGGCCTCCCTGTGCGTGTAAGACACCCCATGACAAGGCAGAACTTGGGATATGCTAAGTGGGTCCAGGTGTGGGTGTAAAACAGGCCAACAGGTCTTTGTTAAAATGTAAATAGGCTGTCTGGTTGCTTGGAGATGCAGACATCCTGTCTCTACAGAATTCAAAGTAAGCAGATTCTACTTCATTATCACTTGATTCTTATCAATACAATTGTAAGATGTATAAGTAAAGAAAATAAACTTATTAAAATAACCAAAGCTCAGTAGTTCTGGACAATCATCAATACAGCGGTATGAAAAGTAACTAAGAGAAAATGAAGAACTGAAAAGTAACTAAAGGGAACTAAAGGTATGAGAAGTAACTAAAGCTTATAAAGTAACTAGAGCCTATAAGAATCAAATCTTACATTATGAACAAGCCAAAACAAAAGAAGACTGCAGCCTTACGGTTAAACGGGAGGGTGAGGTCCCTGGCTGTGTCATGGTGAGCCCAGCAGTCTGAGCGATTCTTTAGGTTATGACAGGCAGTGCTCTTAACCTGAAGACGCAAAGTTTTATTTATAGAATAAATAGAAAAGTAATTTCCTCTGAAATCTCAGTCACAATTGTGATCTCAGTATTGATCAAAATAATCATGGTTAAGACTTTTGCCATAATCGTGCAGCCCTTCTGATGTCCTCTGTCTCCATCAGTGGTACAAGCTGGACGAGCTGTTCGAGCAGGAGAGGAACCTGAGGACGGCCATGACCAATCGAGCCGGTTTATTGGCTCTGATGCTGCACCAGACCATCCAGCATGACCCAGTCACAACTGACCTGCGCTCTGCCAAGGACAGGTAGAGACAGGTAGAGACAGGTAGGCAGTCAGAAGGTATAGACAGGTAAGAGACAGGTTTAATATTTCAGGCTCAGACATCAAAACAACCAAATGCATTGTGAGAAACAGAGTCCAGAAGCACATTAGATAAAAGATCTCATAATCAGGTGTTTTTAAAGTTAGGAGATTATCTTGTAATTACTACATACAGATTGTGTCAATACAAAATAGGTATCAAAATATTCAGACTTCTTATTTGTAATTATGGATAAAGCTCTTATCTGTGACAGGTTTGTAATTACAAGGTAACAATTATAAGATTTTTTAAGATAAATATGAATAAAATAAATCTGATCTCTAATCACATTTATCTTGATTAATATGAGGTATAGATCATGTCATTACAAGATAAAGGTCTGTGTATTATGAGATAATCTCATTGTACTGTATATGTAAAATAACGATTGTGTTATTGCCTTAATTCAAAAATAACATGTCACAGTTATGAATTATAATGCTTTTTCTCTGGTGAAGTGAAGCTGATCTCAGCTCAGGTGTCAGTCTGTGAACTGGTCTCATCATGCTCATGAAATAAACACATTAGTCAAAGTCACATAAGCTCCAATGATAAATAATGCTGATACCAAACAGTATTAACACTGAGGTCTCCTGTAGAGACTTGTTGTGGCAAAGTGATCTATTAAATAACTTTCAGAGCTTTTACACTCAGTGAGTGTAAAATAAAAACTTAACATCAGCTCTGAAAGTTATTACACATTTATTTCTGCAGAAAGGAGCAATCTCTAAAGAGTGTCTAACCAGTCTGATGGAGAGGCTCCCAGAACAGAGTGCTACTTCTCTTCTTATACACACACATACAATTGCAGGAAACAAATGCTCAAACAGATGGGCAGCAGGATACCAGTTATTACAGGATACTAGCCATCTGCTTCAGCAGTCACACAAAGGCATGAAAATCTTTACGAACATGCTGACACAATAAACGGTCTGGTGTCACAATCACACACATATGCCTGTATACCATGACTACAAAGCAACAGCCAATAAACTACAAAGGGTGCTACCATAAAATTCCCACTACAGACCACACTACAGTACCCACAGTTCACTGCACAGCTCCAGTAAAGTGAGCTTCATCAGACCTTGTGGAGGTTTAAGATTCACTGTCAAATGTTGTGCACAGACGGACAAAAGAACAGGAATGGATGTTCTGATTTTATTGCACTTAGCTTTTATTCTCATGTTGTTCTTATTGTTCTTGTCTCTGTATGATTTTATATGTGTCCTGCTAGAGTTGGTTTTATATTTTGTATTGTTTGATCATGTTGTATTCAGTTTGATGTTTCATTAAAAAAAGTTAAAATGCTGTTGATTTCTTCTGGCTTTGATCATTTTAAGGCAGAATACCAAGAGTTGCCAGTCAACACCTGAAGAGATATTTGTTGTTTTCATAAAACAGAGCATTTCAATAAAGGCAAGTTTCAAGTAAGCAGTGTTAGAAAATAACCCA